CAGTAATTTTATTAGCCAAATGAATGTTTATGAATCACGAATGGTTTCATTTGTGTACAAATTATCACGGGGAGAAATTGTTACATTTGAGTAAAATACCCAAATGTAACAATTTATCCTGGTAATAATGGCGCTACGTCACCATTTCGTTTATAAAATATATTACTAATCGCTCAGCAAATATTCCCTTTTTAATAATACAAGTCAACGTAGCGCCATTATTAGGGGGATAAATTGTTACATTTGGGTATTTTACTCAAATGTAACAATTTTTCCCCGTGATAATTTGTTTACCCAAATGAAACAATTCGTGATTCGTAACCAATTGGCTAATAAAATTACTGTACATGTGCGTATGAGGCGCGAATCTCTGGGCGCAAGTTGGCAAAGACAGATCATTCTATACCGAAATTCCTCCCCTTTCCTCCCTTTTTCTTTAGTTTTTACGTGCTGTCATTTTCGATCATTTTCGTAATAGATTAGTTTTGTTCAAGGTGATGGGAGAAGGTTGCACCTTTTCTGTTACAGTAAAACTGTTAATTTGTCGATATTGTGCACATTGAAGCAAAAGGAACGAGTTAGGATTCTATCTACTTTATAATTAAAATATTGTTTTGTTGTTTTGTTGTGGATAAACGATTCACTAAAAGTAATTACCTGTTGTTCAATTTAATATTAATTTAATATGAAAAACCTAAAATTTACCTAAAATACGATAATAGTTGTGTTTGTTTTTGATAATCGTATTACTTTAGCGATATATAAGTTCTTTTTGGGAAAATTTCTGTGCTTTGGCTTTTTTGTATTGAAAATTTGACAATTTAACATTGCAGTCGTTGACATACTTCAAAAGTCGGGGCTTAACTCGAGCAACAACTTTTTTGTCAAACTTCGAGTTAAGCCCCGGGGCTTAACTCGAATAACCCAAATCGTGTTTCGTTCTTCGAGTTAAGCCCTTTTTGAAAAAGGGCGTGGTCTTGGCAAAACAGGGCGTGGTCGGGGCTTAACTCGAAAAGGGCTTAACTCGAGGGGCTTAACTCGAAGGGCTTAACTCGAAGATTCCCGACCTCGTTGGTGTATGATCACTTCATTAACTGTTGCTTCAATCAGAATTTCTGAAAGCTACTTGCGTCTACTCCTTTGACACTCTGAAAAATCTGGACAAACTTTTAATTAAGAAAGTCGGGACATACAGTCGAACCCCTATAAGCGGACACCTCTTTTAAGCGGACACGTATCTCAGGTCCCATTCGTTTTCTTTAATAAATACTATTATCATAACCCCTATTAAGTGGACACCCCTCTTTAATGGACGCGGACACCTTACTTGAGGTCCCAATGGGCAAATCAACCTCTCTTAAGCGGACAGATGACAGATTGTCTGATAAAATGTATTCAATATTCAACAGTAATAACAATTGAGATCAAATTACATGGCACATTGACAGTGACACACCAACTTGGCGCGAAGAAATCAGAGCCTCAAAAGCAGACTTGTATCGGTTCCTTTTTTATATGACTGTGAGAGACGTATACATTTTCTAATGAACTTTTATGCACAAAGAAATTTTCATTTTATGCTAATTATTTGCTTGATATTTTTTACTGTTTTGATGCTCAAATTACACACCTAATTACACACCTTTGCCCCCTGCTGTGTTTTTCTACATACCCCTTTTAAGCGGACACCCCTTTTAAGCGGACACTTAGGCGAGGTCCCGAAGGTGTCCGCTTAATAGGGGTTCGACTGAATATATAATCTGCTTTTTCTTAATAAGATCTTCCACTATCCCTACACAAAACTGCTCATATCCCGTGTTGTCAAAAGCATTAGCGAGCTTAAGCAAGCGACGTTTTTGTCAACACGGACGTCAGATTGCCAAGGGGGGGCTGGATTAAAAACTGTATTTGTAACAGTTTTTGCTAATCTTCGACACATACGACAAAACATAAGATATATAAATATTTGGATTATATAAATTTGCAAAAATTAGGGAATTTAATATTGTTCAAAATTTTGGAAGCTCTGGGCTAGTCCAGTCATAATAATAATAATAATAATAATAATAATAATAATAATAATAATAATAATAATAATAATAATAATAATAATAATAATAATAATAATAATAATAATAATAATAATAATGAAAACTTTATTAAATGGATATTTAGCTTATATATACAATTGCAAATCTCACTTATATCATGCAGGTAATTTCCAACTGGCTACTTAAATCACTGATTATATATGCAAAAATTATACTATTAAGATAACAAAATGACAGTACAACGTTTAAACACTTAACAGTTCCGGATTCATCCATTCCTTGTTTCGACAACAAAATATATGATACGTTGTTCGGATTGCAATCGTCGTCATTCTTCTAATACAGTAATTCTGATGTTGCTTTTGAAAACCAAAATCATTAAGCATTTCTATGAAAGTAGAACATTCTTTACTGAGAACACCAAGAGAACTAATCGAAAGATTTACAAATTTTACTGAGTTGAAATGATCATTTTGTTCCCTAATTAATTCTTTATATTTTGATTTTTTTACGCTCAACGTTTTTTTGAAGATTTGATTCGAAGCCAACTGTAAGTTCAACAATATAGAGTGTTCCGGTTGAGGGTCAGAAAGAAGCAAATCTGGACGGTAGGTGTCACCAGTGATGATTGATGGACTTTTGTACCCTGGGAGATCCACGTAAAGATGTGAGCCGCTTACGGTCTGCAGGCTTGTTGCGAGAAAGTTTAGAACGGAGTCATGTCTCCACGTGAATCGTTCTAGATACGATTGGCAACCAGCTACCACGTGCAGAAGTGTTTCAGGAGCTAGACATCGCGAACAGTCTGAAGTCGGTGATAAACCCCATCTTGCAAGGTTTTGGCGCGTTGGAAGGGAGTTATTGATGTATCGAACTGTAACGTTGAATATATTTTTCGGAAGGTTCGATTGGCACGCAGACCAAATTTTAGTGAGTTGGGACAGTGAGAACTTTGTTATATTAGTGAAGAAAGAGCCCT